CAATTAAGGGTGGGTTAACATATACCAAAATGGTTGCAGAATCAGATGAATTCCAATGGTGAAATGAGATCACAGGATAAACAGACATCATCATCCATTGCGAAACATTTGATTGAGACGGGTCATAAGGTTGATATCAAATCAGCATATGTTGTGTTGTACAAAAGCCTTCAAGGACGTATACTACGGTTTATTGAAGCCTTGGCTATACGAAAATTGAAACTCTCTTTATGTGTTCAAAAACAATTTGTGCTTACACTTAACCTACTCTGGTAGTACTGATTTACTATCCAGAGTGGTAATCACATTTGTTTTTGTGTACCTTAATATTTTTCCTTTGTTATGACTTACCCTTAACCTGTCTAGTTGACCTTTTAATTTTTCATATATAAATATCCTTAACAAGTATATGTGTGATCAGATTGTTCGAAATGTATTGCACAAATATATCACATAATTCTGATAAACTTCGCCTTCTCATTGCATTATCAAAATTTATCAAAGGGACTAATTGTTTTAAAAACATAATAACTAAGAAGTATAAATTGTTCGTACGATAATTGTACTAGTTGTGATAAGAACAAAGGCTTAAATCAATGTTTCATAACACGGGACATACGTGAAAGACTTGGAAAAGTAAACACTGAAATTACTTAGAAAGAACTATTCAGATGATTGAAAAGGGAAGCATATATCTTTTTTTTAAAAAGGGTGAGAAAAAAGAATAAACGAACAAAGAATATAAAAACGATAATAACTAAAATCATTTGTTAAGCCGTAATCAGCTAAAGAAGAGATAAATATGTTACAAACTTCTTATGAGCACAAAGATTTTAGTTATTGGCTTGAATTATTATAACTTTATATGTAAGAGACAATGCCAAACCCTATAGGGTAAGACAGTAGATATTCATTAAATTAATCAAAATGATTTGTCTATGTTTACTATAAGAATGTTATTCACTAAATGTGTTAGAACAATCAGTATTGTTTTGGTTATAACCTTTCCCAATCATGAGGAGAGGTGTTCACTAATTCGGTTCATTGATTATTAATTACTTATATAATATAGATTATTGTTATCATTACTTCATAGATTGCATTGATCGATTTAATATTTTCATTTATTCATGTATATATCAATACATACTAAAGTGAAGCCTAATAAGGATTTAATTAGAAACAATATTGTTCATCTATATACGCTATTCTAAACTTTATTATAGTGTTTAAGTAATATGTTTGGGTATTAGCATTTCAATTATAAATAAACGTAGTCTTCATTACCATTAGTTAAAGATTACTCATTTTTCCCGATGAATATGTATTAATTGACAAATAACAAATTTCAAAATTTTATTTATAAATATACAAATTATACAATAAATTTATTAATCCCAATTGTCATCATGACATGGGATAAACTGAAATAAATTCTATCTATCAGTTATTGAACTATGTTGAAGTTAGACATTAACACCATTGGATACCGGCTCAGTGGTCTAGAGGTTAGGCATTCGCTCGCGAGATGGAAGATCCTGGGTTCGAGTCCCTTGTGTTGGATTATGAATGTGCACTGCTGAGGACTCCTATACTGGGACGAAATGGTTGTCCCAGTATGCTTCTAGGTTTTCCATGGTGGTCTAGCTTTAATCGACTCATCAATTCAACTATTAAATTATCATATTTCACTCAGATAAAGATGTCGAGTTTGTTCAAGAAGTAAGTGTTTTTGTAGAAAACCCCTTAAAAATATTCTTTTTTCACTATGTGTTGTTAAGAAAGAAAAGAAAAAGCACTTAATATCTAAACAATTAAAATTATTTAGGTCATGGAATTGATCTATTAATTTTTATTAATACAAGTATTCGGGACGTGGGGACTGATAAATATAACTAGTATTAGTACCATTTGAATTATGGTTTTACATAGAAAATTGCTCCAGAAAAAGTGATTAATAAGTGATAAGGTCATTTTATTAATGGTGTCTTGAAAGCCATTTGTTTTCATACGTGACATTATCATTGATAATGTTACAATTATATATGCCTATGTAAATGGTAGTTTCAGGTTTTGCATGGTGTATGATAACTTGAAAAAAATGTTATCCTCTTAAATCTTATATTTTTCAAAAGGAATGGTCTAACTTTAAAAAAACAAATATGAAGCTAAATTCATTACATTATATTCTTGAATAATTCAATGTAACTATTGTGTATACTACTTATGTTGACAGATATGAATTGTATATAACACCAGAAGTGGAATGCTTGACAGTAGACGGTTAAGAAGATCGAATTAACGAGAAAAGAAATGTAAACAGAGATTAACTATATTAACAACAGGAATAAAGGAACGATGAAGTTTATAAGAGACAACTGATGGTAGACGTATATATATATATATATATATATATATATATATATATATATATTAATTTTTTCTAAGACACCTTATTATTTTGCATTAAACAAAAAAATGGTTATCCCCATTTAATATCTTCACTCACCACATAACAATCAAATTAACATTAAAGTCTTTCAATAAAGAAATTCTTAAAATTTAATTATTAAATATTTTGTTTTGTTGATTAATATTATAATCTATAATTGATGTGTGTTACTGATATCGATTGATATAAGTAGTATGTATCATCAATCAAAAATGAAATACCTGTTGTCAGAAGGTTAAAAAGATCAACAACAAAAAAGAGAACGAGAACAGAAAATGATTGCTTTAGAAACGAAGGAACAACCAAATCTGAGACGATTGATGGATATCTTACAAATGAAGTATTGACTGTATGATTCTTAGATTTTACTAAAGATTTTGTAACTTTGTATCCGATTACATTCAATTGTCCCTACTTATGTTCTCATATATATATATATATATATAATATACCCTTGTTGGCCAGGGTAATTTTACATTGGTTTTTAGGAGAACCAGACACCATCCGTACTTTCACGTAAAAACTCAAACAGTACAGCTCAACCCCGTTTAGCATGGGAAGCAGACACTGTACAGGCTTTAACGCTACAATCTGGATAGTACAGCTCAATCCTGTGGCGTAACCACACAGGTACCAAGCACCCTGGTGGACTATTCGCACCATTCATATACACATTCACATCACATGTATAGTTATTCCGATCAATGATCGCGTGAATCAATTATGCACATCACGAACAGGCCAAAGTTGACCTATTCATTTACTATCTCATTTACTACAATAAAAGCATTATGAAAAGTTTATATAGTTTATTTAACTGATAAATAATTTTAAATAACATGGTATACCTTTTCATTTTGTGTTTCAACTATTTTACTAAGTGATAATTAGATGAATATTTTTTGCTTTCTTTAAAGCCATTTTCTATAGTTCATTAGTTTTGTCAAGTTATCTAGTATAGAATAACTTCTATTCATGCATACAAAATGACAAATAAAATTCAGTTTATTCTATGGATGATTGAAAAAATAAATAAAAAAATAAAAGGGGGGTATGTTTGGTTTTTTCCCAATCATTTAACAGTATTTTTATTAGGATCTATAACCATTTATCATTTGAATGTTATTCATAATTGATGAACTTTAAATCTTCTTTTTATACATCATTAAGAGTATTCTCTTTTTATAAACATTTAACTATAGAATTTGGTGAGCGGCCTATGCTCCTTCACGATGAGTAACAGGCGTAGGTAAGTAAGTAAGTAACTATAGAATAATATTAATTATGGAATCCATTAAGGTATTGCTTCTTATTCAACTTTCATCATTAGTGAAATCTATGATTACAAATGAATAAACAGGGTAATATTAGCATTTTTTCTTATATTCTGTGTTATTACATACTTACTGATTCTTTATCAATGATATTGTTCAAACGTTTAGATAATACATACATATATTTTAATAAAATAATCATTGAGTAAACGTTTTATCATCTTTGATTATCTTGTTAATTGAAATTCAGAAAGGTATATTTATTAAGTTTATATTAATTGATTACCATAAACAAAGTGTTGCCTTCCACTTAGTGAATTCATGGTTATTACAGCATACTTTAGAATACATTTTATCCTAGTCCTCCCTTACTTCATTAAATTATTCAATGTTTCTCATACATATGAAAAGATACTATTAAATCTCCCTAATGTAGACTATTTTGATAATGATTTTTGTCAAAATTAAAAATGTACTGGTCGATGATATGCCAAAACATTGAATAATCAGTATATATATATATATATATATATATATATATATATATATATATATATATATATATATATATATATATATATATATATATATGAGTAACCGAAAGAATAGGTGGCAAGACTATAATTTATAGACGAACTAATCACGTTTAGGATGACAGGTCTCGGATTTTGGCGCAAATTCTATTCATCCAATTGTCTAAATAGCGTCTTGGCATTTCAGATGATGTTAGTTCGTGATGAAAACCATAAATCTAATTCCTAACTCTAACCATCAACTATAAATCATAGTCCTTACTCTTCATACTGTCTTATAACCATTATTTAGCCCTAGTAAGTAGGTGAACATTCCCAAGATCATTTAGCATCGCTCAAATGTCGTTCATAAATTACAGTCTCGACGAATAGATTTCTAAATGTGACTAAAGTAGCTGGTAACCTGTTTGAAGAACAAAACAAATCACTAAGGTCCAATAGTTGAGATCATTAGTCAATTGAAGCTAGACCACCACTATGGAAAATCTGAAAGTACCAGACAGCCGTTTCGTCCTGTCGTGGGACTCCTCAGCAATGCACATCCACGATCCAGTGCTTCCAGGTTTTCCATGATGATCTAGATTTAATTGACTCATGATCTCAACTATTGAAATTACTATAATATCCACAAAAACCCCTTCTGATATAAATCGATAAATTTTACTCGTCTTGTTTAAATTTAAATAAAAAATTAATAAACCGCAAATGAAAGAAAAAAATAATTTTTCTTCTATAACTTACTTGTACAATAAAATTGAATACTTTGCACCAAAATATACCAAATATCCAACTTTTTAAAAAATATTGCATTACAGTTATAGGACTTGTCATTGTTAAATAAATTAAATCTGTTACTGCTAAACCAACACAAAATGTTTCATAAACCATACGTGTTTGATTACATGTTAATACACATATAACTAATACATTACCTATTATACCAATTGTTACAATACAACATACTAAACATGCCATAATAATTACAGAGATTTCAATATCAGGTCGTATAATAGAATGTAATTCCATAGAAACATCATGGTTTATTGTATTATTTATTGAATTAGAGAAAACAGGAAATAATACTGTAATAAATATAATCAAAATCATGATGATAGTAGTATATAATATAGTATAACAACGATTAAATAATTATTGAATTAAATTTTAATATTGTGAGTAGTATCTATGACATTATTTTCATTGAATATATTTGTTTTATATGCTAATAAGGTTAAATCATTCTGTTGAAGTTAATCATAAAACTATAAAAATAAATATAATAATCGAAAAGTGTTTCTTTGAACCAATAGTTTCATAAAAAGCATAATATAAAAATTGCCTATCTGTTTATTTTTGTTTTGTTTTTTTTATTTCTGAGTGAAGCTTTAATGTGATTGGTCAATTCATGTTTTTGTTGTTTAGCCAATCAGAAATAGCTATTTAGTAGAGTAATTTGTTTAAATAATTTAGTTTTATGATTAATATCATAGACTACTAGGAACCAAGAAGAATTAAAAAGATGTTTCGTCTGAGTATAAGACTTATCAACAGTATATATCTATGCTCACCGGTATTAAGCATTTAACTTATGACATGTGTCGCTCAATTTCGTGGATTAGTTGGAGTTAGAGATTAACAGCGTTGGATGTCAGGTCAGTGGTCTAGTGGTTAAGTGCTCGCGCGCGAAACCAGTAGGTCTTGGGTTCGAATCTCGCAGAGGTCGAGGTCGTGGATGCGCACTGTTGAGGAGTCCCACAATAGGACTAAATGGCCGTCCAGTGCTTCCAGGTTTTCCATGGTGGCCTGGCTTCAAGTGACTCATGATCTTAACCATTGAAATTATGACATTTAGTCTGATATCTAAAATCTTAACATCTAGATAACTGAACTGGAATTTAATGTTTTTTATTTGAGTTGAATTTTAATTTGTTTTGTTCTAATTCTATACGAAATAATAAATCTTTATTTAAAATTAGAATCGAAAACAAATTCAATCCAGAATAGTTGTGGTTTATTAGTATTACCCTCTTTACGTTTTGATATGAGACTGAAATCATTCTAATCTCATTTCAATGTCACAAGTGAAATAAATCACATATAATGCTTATTCAATCAGAAATTAATGTACCCTACAGTTATTTACTAAGTCATTAGGATTTGTCTTTTACAGAGCTAAGTGTTAGATATGAATACTCATAGCTTGCAATTTTTGAAAGTAAATCATACCTTAGTTTTTGTCTGACTAAAAAGAAATCATTTTACACAAAAGAACAATAATAGTTGAGTATTTACGAATTCCTATAGTTTAACAGCTAAATTATCATTTTCAATATACAAATGTAATACCAAGTTGTCCAAAGACTTATACTGGCAATCAGTAATTCGTATTGATAAGTATTAATGATGTAGTTTATTACAAAAATTGACATTCTCAGCCCTCAGTTAACCTTTAGCAACATTTGTGTTTTGTTGGAATAAGCATGATATTTTTTATCGAAAAAAAATCACAACTCCAGCTCTTAGTTACAATCACTTTATGAAGACATTCGGTTATGATAAATCTCTTTGGTCAAGATTTTGCCTTTGTGAAAACCCCCTTGATAAATAATGGTTTAAGTATACTGAAAACGATTTAAAACTGTTAATTCAGTATTCTTCTCAACAAACGTATATCAGATATTAAAATAACTTTTACTGAAAGTTCTGTGAATGCAATTACTAATGTTACAACAAGTTCAAATGCAAATACTTACCAGCAATTTCGGAATTCTATCGGTAAATCTATCTGGATGATATAATGTTCATTCAACTGAATATGAGCTGCAATAAGCTCCACAACTCTTTAGTGGAAATTACCATTTACGTACCAGTGATTAACTTCTAGTGGAAATTTTTGGAGCTCTAGTGAAAAGCCGTGACCACTGAAGTCCAACTGTGTTGGGTATGAGGCAGTTACCCACAGAAGACAATGGAAAATGGTCGTGCGACATAATAGATTAGTTGAAGTTAGAGATTAACACAGTTGAATGCTGACTCAGTGATCTGTAGGTTATGCATTCACGTGAGATGCCGAATGTTTTTAGTTTGAGTTCCTTGTGCGGGTTGTAGATGAGTACTACTAAGGAGTCCTAAACTAAGACAAAACGGGTGTCCAATGGTTTCAGGTTTTCAATGGAGCTTTAACTTAGATCTGTTCATGAATTCAATGAATTAAAACAATTCTCTTTCATTTAACATAATAAAAAGGTTAATGCCAAAATAAATGGTTAATTGGATTATTTTTGTCTCTATATCTGGTTTTAATCCATTAGTTCAACTTATTTAGATGACCAGTTTCCATTGTGATATTCTTAAAGAATTTTACGGAGAAAAATGTGCTTTAAGAGTTTCGTTTGAAAAACATTCTTATCAATAGCTTGCAATAGAATTTATTCTATAATCCTGTTCATTGTTTTCAAATCTGTAACCAACTCATGTTGATTTATCAGTTCAAAGCAACGTTTATAATTTTTTGGGTTTTAAAATCTAAGATTTACAAAATTTTACCTAGTTTAGTGATTTAGCTTCGTCAATCAATTACCTTGATAACCGTTATAACATAAATCCCGCGGTATTTGAAATCAGAAAGCAATAAGAAGCGGAGACTACAGTTTATTGTAGGATAGCACGGATAAAAAATCTACAAGCACATCCAGCAGGTTTGGAGCAGAAAGGCTAATATATGTGAGCGTGCGAATTTATAGTCAAATCGAATAAAAGCGCAACGAGGCAAGGCGAAGGATAATAATAGGATTTAAGAACATATATATTTTCTAATCTAATCGTATTAGCTCCTCCTGGAGTCCCTCGGTGGGCTACTGCCGGTCCCAAGCCCGGATAAAGGAGGAGGGTTGGGCATTGGGTTAGCGTCCCCATCCCGTAGAAAACTAACTCGCTAAAATAACGCTAACCAGAAAAAATGATTCAAACCTTTTAAACTCTGCCATGGGAGTCAGAAGGTCTTCATTTAGAAGAACTATGGCGCCACATGATGAAAGCCGAGTTCCGTCGGAAGTCACGAGGCCGATGCCCCTTCTGACAACCAGAGCAACCATTTATTTAGGTACATAGAATGTTCGTACAATGTGGGACACCGGGAGAGTCTCTTCCGAATTGCTGAAGAAATGAAGAGATTCAACCTAGAGGTACTTGGGATCAGTGAAACACATTGGACACAAGTTGGACAACAACGACTAGCTTCAGGAGAGCTTCTGCTATACTCCGGCCATGAAAAAGAAAATGCCGCACATACACAAGGATTTGCGTTGATGCTGTCCAAACAAGCACAAAATACACTTATAGGATGGGAATCTCATGGATCAAGGATCATCAAAGCCTCCTTCAAAACAAAGAAAGAGGGTATTTTAATGAACATCATCCAATGCTATGTGCATACATACGACTACAATGAAGACGCTAGAGATCAATTCCACGATAGGCTGTTGTCAATCATCGAGAAGTGCCCAACAAAGGACCTGACCATTCTGATGGGAGATTTCAACGCCAAGGTTGGAACGGACAACACTGGATATGAAGACATCATGGGACGACACGGACTGGAAGAAAGGAACGAAAATGGTGAGAGATTTGCAAATCTATGTGCCTTCAATAAGCTGGTCATAGGCGGCACCATATTCCCACATAAACGCATACACAAAACCACATGGACTTCTCCGGGTCACTATACACAAAACCAAATCGACCATATCTGCATCAACAAAACGTTCAGGAGGACGATGGAGGACTTGCGAACCAAGAGAGGAGCTGATATAGCATCAGATCATCACTTGCTGATCGCCAAGATGAAATTGAAACTCAAGAAGCACTGGACAATGGGGCAGACAACATCACAAAAGTTCAATACGGCTTTTCTTCGGGATACTAACAAACTCAACAAATTCAAGATAGTCCTCAGAAATGAGTTCCAGGCCTTTCATGATCTACTCAATGGAGAAGAAACTACTATGGGGAGCAACTGGAAGGGGATCAAAGAGTCAAGCATTTCAACATGTCATGAGGTCCTGGGTCACAAGAAGCACCATCACAAGGAGTGGATCACTGTTGATACACTGGATAAGATTCAAGAAAGGAGGAACAAGAAAGCAGCAATCAATACCAGTCGAACAAGAGCAGAAAAAGCCAAGGCACAAGCTGAATACACAGAAGTAAACAAACAAGTGAAGAGGAGCATCAGAACCGACAAATGTAAATATGTGGAAGATCTAGCAACGACGGCGGAAGAGGCTGCAAGAGAAGGAAACATGAAACAATTGTATGACACGACAAAGAAACTCTCTGGAAATCGCCGCAAACTTCTGATCAAAATACCAAAGAGAGGCGATCACAGCAAGTGTGAGAACTACAGAGGAATCACTCTTCTCTCAATGGCATAAAGAGTGTGGTTAAACAGAATGCAGGACTCCATAGACGTTCAACTTCGGGATCAACAGGTTGGATTCCGTAAGGATCGATTGTGTACAGACCAAATTGCAACTCCACGGATCATTGTAAAATAATCAATTGAATGGAATTCATCACTCTAAATCAACTTCACTGACTACGAGAAAGCATTTGATAGCGTGGACAGAACAACACTATGGAAGCTTCTTCGACACTACAGCGTACCTCAGAAAATAGTCAACATCATCCAGAATTCCTATGATGGGTTAAATTGCAAAGTCGTGAATGGAGGACAGCTGACACATTCGTTCGAGGTAAAAACCGGTGTCAGGCAAGGTTGCTTACTCTCACCCTTTCTCTCTCTCGTGGTGATCGACTGGATCATGAAGGCTTCAACATCTGAAGGTAAACACGGGAGACAGTGGACATCTAGGATTCAGTTGAACGATCTAAACTTCGCAGATTATCTAACTCTTCTATCGCAAACGCAAAAACAAATACAGGAGAAGACGACCAGTGTAGTATCAGTCTCAGCAGCAGTAGGTCTCAATATACACAAAGGGAAAAGCAGGATTCTCCGATACAACACAGCATGCACCAATCCAATCACAATTGACGGGGAAGATTTGGAAGATGTGAAAACCTTTACGTATTTGGGCAGCATCATTGATGAACATGGTGGATCTGATGCAGATGTGAAGGCGTGAATCGACAAAGCACGAGCAGCATATTTACAACTGAGGAACATCTGGAACTCAAAGCAACTGTCAACCAACATCAAGATCAGGATTTTCAATGCAAATGTCAAGACAGTTCTACTGTATAGAGCGAAAACCTGGAGAAATACGAAAGCCATCATCCAGAAGATACAGGTGTTTATTAAC